TCAGTTTCTGCCTGTGTAAAATGAAGGGGTTGGACTAAATGGATTTTTAAGATCCCTTCCAGATTAAGATTGATGATGCTGTGATAAAATACAAACTCCTCAGCTTGCCATTTAAAGGCCTTCACAGTCTGGTTCCAGTTTACCTTTTCAGATTTAGTAATTTTATTGATATCTTTTGTTTTTGTCTCACCTCCATTTCCAGACATCTCTTTTCTCTTTCTTATCCTCAGCATGTTATCCCTTATAACAAAGCACAAAAGAAAGAAAAAAAGGCAGTTTGGCTAAACTGATTTAGACATCAGCTGATTCTGGCAGCTGTGCACCCATGGACCTCTACCTTCAAAGGGCAGGAGAAGGGAGGGCATTTCTTTTTGTGTGTGTGAGGCAGTCGGGGTTAAGTAATTTGCTCAGGGTCACACAGCTAGTGAGTATCAGGTGTCTGAGGTCAGATTTGAACTCAGGTCCTCCTGACTCCAGGGTCAGTACTCTATCCACTGTGCCATCTAGCTGCCCTTTTTTTTTCCTCCAAATGGGGAAGGCATTTCTTAGCTCTTCCCTGAGGCTAAGCATATCATAATCATTACCAGTCACTTTCTTTTTCTTTCCTTTTTTTGGTTCTTTACATTTACATTGTTGTAGTCATTGTGTTTATTGTTTTTCTGCTTTTGCTTAATTCACTTTGTGTCAGTTCCTGTAGGTCTTCCCATGATTCTCTATATTTTTCGTATTCATCATTTCTTACAGTGCAATATAATTTCATTATATTCATGTACCATAAAGGAGTTTTGGTCTGGGGAGTCACAGGGGCGATGAATTATTGTATTGGACAGTCAACTGACAGTGAAATATTGGGAAGCAGTGATAGCAATGATTTGATTACTGTCCCCAGAGCGAGAGATGGAAAACAGGGGCATGGGGGGCTGGGAGAGAGTCAAAGATATCAGGTAAGTGGTAGGATGACCTAGGTGGATGGCTGAATGGGATGGGAAGTGAAGCATGATCTGGGGTATGGACCAGCTGGATATATAGTAGGCCAAGTGCCCTCTTAGTTTGCAAGTAGTTAATCAACAAACATTTATTAAGAACTTACTATATCTGACACTGGCTAAGCATTAGGGAGGTGACATATGAATGTATACCATATATTTTCAAAATAAATAAAAGGTAGTTTTGGGAGGGGCTTTGCCAGCAGCTGAGAAGACTAGGAAAAAGGTTTCATGAAGAAGCTGGTGGTTTGAGCTAAGTCTTGAAGGAATTGAAGAATTCTAAGAAGCAAAGATGAGGAGGGAGTCCATTTCAGTTATGAGAGACAGTCATTGCAAAGATGTGGTGACTGGAGAATAGAATAACAAGAATGTGAGAGGGGAGTAAAGTGCAAGAAGGCTGGCAAGGTAGGGACGGCCGAGTTGTAAAGTACTTTAAATGTCAAACTGAAGAATTTATACTTGATTAGATATACATGGTCAGACCTGCACTTCAGGAAGGTCAGCCTTGACAGCTGAGTGGAGAGAGGATGGAGTGTTGAGGGGAAAGGCTAGAATCAGGGATATGATAGAGTAGGCCATTAGAATAGTCCAGGGGAGAGGTGATGAGCTCCAGCACCAGGGTGATTACCCTTTGAGTGGGAAGAAGAGGCTGTATTTGAGAAATGTTATAGGGATATAGATATAGATTTGGTAAAGGTGAGCAAGAGTGAGGAGTCAAGGATGAGATTGAAGCTGTGACTCTAGGGGCACTCACTCAATTACCAATCTTCCCTCCTTTTTTTTATCTACGTATTTGATAGAAGTTGACTTTGTATCCCTGGTGCTTAGTAGGTCTTTAATGAATGCTTGTTGAATGAATGAAGAATGACAGAGTAGGAACCAAGACTTAGGTCTTTTGACTCCAGGCTCTTTGTGCTATGTCATTGACCTGAATTAATTGAGAATGAGAAGGCTGGCTGGATTGGGAGAAGCTGAGATATCAGTTTTACTCAGGTCTAAGGGTCACTCATTTTTGATACCTTAGTCTTGGATTGTAGGAGAAATTTGGCCTTGTTTTTCATGTAGTTCTTGCCTCCTTTCAGCTGCCTTTTGGATACCCAATGCCCTTAGGTTGGCACTTTATTGTAGGATCATAGGACCCTAGATTTAGAGCTGGAACTTAGAGGTTGTCTATCTAGTGATCTCCAGATTTTTTAAATTGTGTCCCCTTATCAGTTAAAAAAAAATTGAGCATGCATCCCCTCTATGTTATTTACTTATAAATTATGCATATATATTGTTGTGCTGGTAATTTTATACATTATAAAACTTATGCAAAAGTAGAAATCACAGAAGTTATGATAAAGTAATATTTTATCGTAAAGTCAATAGGGAGTTAGTGAAACTTACTGAGTAGGGAAGTGACATGGTCAGATCGGCACTTTAAGATGATCATTTTGGCAGCTTTGTGGAAGATTGATTGGAGAGGGGAGACATGAAGCAGAGGGACCACTTAAGAGGCCATTGTACTAGTTCTGGAGAAAGATGACAAAGGCCTGAACTAAGGTTTTTTGAGAGAAGGTTTTTAAGAGGTTTTTTTAAGGCCTTAGAGAAGAGGAAATGGATGGGAGAGATGTGGAAGCAGAAATGACAAGATTTGACAACTGATTGGCTATATGGGGTGAGGGAAAATGAGGGGGTCAGGGGCAACTTGCAAAACGTGAAGGATGATAGTGCCCTTCACAGACATAGATTGGGAGAGAAGTAGTTTTCTTTCTTTCTTTCTTTCTTTCTTCTTTCTTTCTTTCTTTCTTTCTTTCTTTCTTTCTTTCTTTCTTTCTTTCTTTCTTTCTTTCTTTCTTTCTTCCTTCCTTCCTTCCTTCCTTCCTTCCTTGCAGTTGGGGTTAAGTGACTTTCCCAGGGTCACACAGCTAGTATCATGTGTTTGAGGCTGGATTTGAACTCAAGTCCTTCTGACTCCAGGGCCAGTGCTCTATCCCCTGTGCCACTTAGCTGCCCGAAAAGTAGGTTTTGAGACAAAAGGTAACAAGTTCTGTTTTGGGCATGTTGAGTTTGAAATGTCTATAGACATCAGGTTTGAAATATCAGGAGTTGGTGATATAGGGCTACGAGTTGAGGGGAGAGATTAGGTAGGTAGAGATCTGTAGGTATAGATCTGAGAACCATCTGTATAGAGATGATAACTAAACACTTGCAAGCTAATGAGATCACCAAGTTGAGAGAGCGTAGAGAGAATAGAGAAAGGAAGCTCAGGACAGACCCTTGGGGTATAACATACACCTGTTAGGAAGTGTGATGTGAATGATGCAGCAAAGGAGACTGAGAAAGGGGAGTTAAATCAGCAGAAGACTGCTCCCAAGAGAAGCAGTGACATGTTAATCCTGAGAGGAGAGGGTATACAGAGGGGAGAGGGTGAGTTGTAGTGTCAGATGCTCCAGATAGGTCAAGAAGGGACAGAGATTAAGAAAAGGCTATCAGATTTGGTAGTTACCAGCTATTGCCAAATGAAGAACATTTTCAGTTGAGTAGATTATTCAAGGATAACAAGGAAGTTTAGAACTTGGGATATTGGAAAGATAGTGGTGCTATGTATAGAAAGGGGTGGGTTTGAGAATATTTATTTATTATATTATTTAAGATAATGTAATTGCAGCCCAGCCATATCTGTTCATCCTGTGCTACTCTTTTCTAACAAAAAATAAAAGGTGTGCATGAGAATTTACTCACTGAGTAAATTATACCGCAAGCATAGCCAGGTCTTAGGGGTGCCTGAGTAGCCACAAGATGATGGGGAGCAAGGCAGGGTGTGGAGACACTGGTTTGGACTTGGTTATAACAGGCTTTTGGCCCCTCCAGGCTGTTCCCCGAAGCTTAGGAAGGACAATTTGGGAGGGGCGTAGGGGCTTATTGGGGGGTATTGAAGACTGGGATGTGAACACATCTATTATATAAAAAATCTTTGCTGTTTGCTCTGAAACTTTGAAATTTTGTCATTTCTAATGGCACAATAATATTCAAAGAAAGAGGAAACTTGGAAAATAAGGGAGTGATCATCTTTAGGGGAATGGTGAAATGAGTTATGAAATATGAAATGTTTCCAAGTTTTTGCTATTATGAAAAAAGCTGCTATAAATATTTTGTACATATGGTCCTTTTCCTCTTTCTTTGATCTCTTTTGGAAGTACAGGCCTAATAGTTGTATTGGAGAGGGGGCTGGTCTCAAAGGGTTTCATAGATTAGTGACTTTTGGGATATAGTTTGAAATTGCTTTCCGGAATGGCTGGATCAGTTCATAGCTCCACCAGCTTATATGAAGCTGCTTCTTTTCTTGTATTCCCTCCAACATTACTCATTTTCCTCCTTTGTTATCTTTGCTAGTCTGAAAGCTGAGATGTAGAACTAATTTGTGTTTCTCTAATTGTGATTTAAAACATATCTAGTTGTTAATAGTTTTGTTTTCTTCCTTCGAAAACTGTTTGTTCCTACCCTTTGCCCATTTATCTTTCGGAGAATAGCTCTTAGGGGCAGCTAGGTGGCGCAATGGATAGAACACCGGCCCTGAAGTCAGGAGGACCTGAGTTCAAATGCGGCCTCAGACCATGACACTTGACACTTAACTAGCTGTGTAACCCTGGGCAAGTCACTTAACTCCAACTGCCTAAAAAAAAAAAAGAATGGCTGTTAGTCCTCTAAATTTGAATAAGTTCCTTATATATTCTGTATATGACATTTTATCAGAGAAATTTGCTGCAAAAATTTTTGTTACCCATTTTCCTAATTTTAAATGCATTAATTTTGTTTGTGCAAAATTGTTTTCATTTCATATAATCAAAATTTTCCATTTTATCTTTTGTAATTATTAACTGTTCCCCTATCCATAGGTCAGAAAGGTAACTTCTTCCTTGCTCCTCTAATTTGCTTCTAATGTCAACTTGTATGTCTAAATCATAAAAACTTTTGGGTTTTATCCTAACATATGGTGTGAGCTGTTGGTCTATATCTAATTTCTTTCAGACTGCTTTCCAACAAAGCCCCAACTTTGGAGACTGCTGATCTAGTCCAGCCAACTCATTTTGCAGATGGGGAAACTGAGGCCCAGAGATGATGTGATTTGCCCAAGATAAATGCTGATTGAACAGATGAACTAATTAGTAAGTGTTTTTTCAGCTTCTATGTGCAAAGTACTGTATTTAGTATAAAACAAAATTTGAATAAGCGTAAGCCATGGTCCCTGCTCTCAAGCAGTGTACCTTGTGGTTAGAGAGGATGAAAAATGAAAAAGCAGTACAAGATAATATGTAATTGTGTTTAAAGAAAGGAGAAATCACAGTGGGCTGGAGGAGGTCGAAAAATGGGTAGGATAGCACTTGTATAGGCTAGAGTGGAGGAGAAAGCATTTGACCTTGTAAGGGGAATGGTGTGAATGCTGAGGTTGATTATACAGTATCCTTTTAGAAGCTGGGCTTCTTTTGAAGATGATATTTGCTGGAAAGATAGATTGAGAAGGGTAGAGAAGGGAATAAGCTTTTATATAGTACCCACCATGTGCCAGGCGCTGTGCTAAGCACTTTAAATATTATCTCATTTGATTAGAATTGAGCTGAGTAGTTTGGGCATTATCTTTTTCTGTGCAGTGTTTGAGATGAATATTCTACTACTGGGTTAGTTTATTGGTATGCAAAGTTTGTAAGTTTGATATTTTGGTTATAGTATGTGTAACATTAGTTGACTTAGTAATCTTTTTGCCCTTTTAAGCTAAGATGTTTCTAATGTATGACGGTTGTTAATGATAATGAAACTTTTGTTTTCAAGGACAAAAACTTTCTGTTCAGGGAATTCTTTTCTTCCTTTAATATTAGCAGACTAATTTTTTTTTAATGAGTTGTTGTAACTAATGCATCAGCGTTAATTTATTTTGACACATCTTTGTATCAGATGTAACTTTACCTAGTTTTAGAAGAGGCAGCTTTCATTGTGAAACTACTTGCCAGCTTCACAGATAAGTCCTGATGAGTTGCTTGAGGTACATCTTATTTAATGATTTGCCTGGACATAGTGAATGTCAGAAGCGAGGTTAAAACCCGGAGCTTCCCAACACAAAGCTCAACAATTGATCTCTGCCACCTCCATCTTTAGAAATTGTTTTGATAAATAACTGCAGGCAAGAGAAAGAAATATGTTATCTTAGCCTCAGTTTAAAATTATTTTTCTCTTTGGCATTAATATTTCTTACTGTAGGTATCTTGATTTGATGGAAGAAACATGAGACCCGATGGCACAGAATGTGGTTCTGCTGCACTTACAGATTTGTCGTTGTTTTCAAGTCACTTCCTTTCTCTGGGTCTCAATTTCCTCATCTGTGAAAGGACCAGGGGTGTTAGACTTCTGAATTCTTCTGAATTCACTTCCATTTCTAATCATCTAGATTCTATGTAGGCATTTAAACGTCCATTTTTTCCCTTTTGTATTACAGATAGAGTTTTTTGAGTTATCTTTGAGGTCTATCTAATTTATCTTGTGTATATTTTATTTATTGCTTCCATGCTATGCACTTAATATTTGATCCTGGAAGAAATAGGGAGCCACTGGAGTCTGTTGAGCCAGAGGGTAACATAGTTAGACCTGTGCTTTAGGAAAATCTCTTTGGCAGCTGAGTGGAAGATGGGTTGGAATAGGTAGAGATGACTCAGGCAGACCAATTAGAAAGCTCTTTCAATAGTCTAGGCAAGAGATGATAAAAGCTTGAACTAGGGGGGTGGTAATGTAAGTAAGAGATGTTGTGAAGAAAGAAATGACAGGATTTGGCAACTGCTTGGATATGTGGGCTGAGTGAGAGAAAGGAGTTAAGGGTGACATGAGACTGTGATCCTGGGTGACTTGAAAGATGGACAGTAATTGGGAAATTCAAAAGAAGAGAGAGTTTTTGGGGAAGGACAGTGAGTTTTGTTTTAGATATGGGTTTGAGATGCCTATTGGACATCCAGTTTGAAATTTCCAATTGGCAGTTGATGATTCAGTACTGAAGCTCGGGAGAGAGACTAGGTCTGAATAAATTATTCTAGGAATTTTCTGCATATAGATGATAATTGGACCCCTGGGAGTTGATGAGATCACTCAGTAAGAGAGATGAGAGACAAGAACCCAGGACCGAACGTCGGTGGACACTCAAGAAGAGTGAGCATGGTGCAGAAGAAGATTGCACAAAAGTGACTAAGACTGGTAGTGGAACCAAGACAGTAAGAAGGTTATGAAAATGCAGAGGAAGAGAGTACCCAGAAGGAGAAAAGTTATCAACATTGGCAAATGCTGGTTGGACCTGTCCACTAGGAATATCAATTTGTCACTGTGTGGAGAATGGTTTTTAGAAGGAAAAGACTAGAAACAGGTAGACCAATTAAAAGGCAAGAGGTGTTGAGGACCCATTCTAGGGTCATGTGATGTGACTAGAGAAGAGGGTTCAATGTCAGGAATGTTGAGGACAGTGGGAACTGACAGGACTTGGTAACTAATTGATTGGCTGTCAAGGATGATAGTGTGAAGACTAGAGCAAGACTCCTAGGTTGTAGTCCAGTTGCATGTGTTTGAGAATTAAAGAATGCAAATGTTGTAAGTGTTTTGGCTTGTCTTGGCTGAATTAAAAAAAATCAGCTTTTGTTAACTCCTGCTTGATTAATTTCCTGCTTTGGAATTCTAAAAACTAGTGAATAATTAAAATATTCAACAACTCTAGTACTTTTACTTTTATCACACTAAATAAATGATAATTAAAAATAGTGTTTTTGCTGTCAAACAACTCAATTTTAATTTTTTCTTTTCTTTAGGATAGTATTAAATTGGAAGAAAAAAGGAAGCGATAATGCACCATGGCAGCGGTCCTCAGAATGTCCAGCTCCAGAGGTCGAGGTCCTTCACAGGCAGTGAGGGGGAAGACCAGCAGTCCCATTCAAATCTACCCCAGTCCCCTGCAGCTCCATTTGCTCCTTCAGCAAGCCCATCTGCACCACAGTCGCCCAGTTACCAAATACAGCAGCTTATGAATAGAAGTCCAGTAGCTGGTCAGAATGTAAACATTACACTGCAGAATGTTGGACCAGTAGTTGGAGGAAACCAGCAGATCACCCTGACCCCTTTGCCAATCCCCAACCCAACCTCCCCAGGTTTTCAGTTTAATTCTCAGCAAAGGAGGTTTGAGCATGGCTCCCCATCCTACATACAAGTTACCTCCCCGTTGCCCCAACAAGTCCAGTCTCAAAGCCCAACCCAGCCCACCCCTGGGCCAGTGCAGGCCTTACAGAGTGTGCGGGCTGGCACTCCTGGCCCGGGACTGGGTATCTGCAGCTCCAGCCCCACTGGAGGCTTTGTGGATGCCAGTGTCCTTGTGAGACAGATCAGTTTGAGCCCTTCGAATGGTGGACACTTTGTGTATCAGGAGGGCTCAGGCATTGCCCAGATTGCTCAGGGAGGACAGGTTCAACTCCAGCATGCGGGGGCCCCTATTACCGTTCGAGAACGCAGACTTTCACAGCCCCATGCCCAGACAGGCGGCACCATTCATCATCTTGGACCGCAGAGCCCGGTAGCTAGTGGTGCCAGTATGCAGCTTTGACTAGCCCCAGTCATTGCAACGACCAGCTTGCCACCCCAAATCAGTAGTATTATTCAAGGACAACTGATTCAACAGCAGCAGGTGCTTCAAGGACAGCAGTTGAATAGACCCGTGGGGTTTGAGAGGCCTTCGGGTGTCTTGATATCTGGAGTTGGAGGCTCTTCAGCCTTTGGGATGACTTCACCACCCCCTGGACCCACCAGCCCTTCTAGAGCAGCTGTGCCACAGGGTCTTTCCAGCCTTCCTCTCACTCCTGCAGGAAGTATAGGAGTGAAAAAAGTACCTAAAAAATTGGAGGAAATTCCACCAGCGTCTCAAGAAACAGCCCAAATGAGAAAGCAGTGCCTGGATCATCATTACAGAGAAATGGAGGCTCTGAAAGAAAACTTTAAGGAGTATTTGATTGAATTATTTTTCTTGCAGCATTTTCAAGGGAATATGATGGATTTCTTAGCTTTTAAGAAAAAACACTATGCACCCTTACAAGCGTATCTTAAGCAAAATGATTTGGATCTTGAGGAAGAGGAGGAGGAGGAAAAATCTGAGGTTATCAATGATGAGGTAAGAAATTTAATTCTTAATAATTTAGAGGAGAAATGTCAAGGAGGATAAAGTCTATGAAATGGTAAATAATAAGATATTTGTATCAATTTGAATTTTTAAGAGTTTAGTTGTAGAAGGATCTTAGTCATAAAGATTGATATTGTTAAGAATGTATTTTTCTTAAGTTCTTTTTTTCCCATAGGAAGGAACATGTGTTTTGAAAGGAAAACAATGACGATGGTGATTTTTGTAGTTGTAAAGACACCTAAAATGTTTCCATTTAAAAACAGGGCTTTCAGCTTGGTTCATCTAACCAAACTGATTTGACTAATTTTTTTTTTCTTCAATCTAGGCTCTTGGCTGGTGGCTTGAATGGTGTTTTGGAGAGTATTTAGTACCTCAGTAAACATATTCAGTTTGCTTTTCTAGGTTCTGTACCTTATTCCTTAGGGGTGGACTGATCACTAAATAAACGTACACAAAAACATCCATTTGCTTCTAAAAAAAGCTGTTGTTACTATTTTACCTATGGGTTTCCTCCCCACCTCCCCCATTCCTAAACAGAAAGGATGAGTCAATGTGTCTTCTCCATAGGACCAATCAGAAGTAGAATTTCCTAGAACTTACATAGTATCACCCTGTTTGTCATTTAAATGTGATAATAACTATGTACAAATATAAAATGATTTATAGTTTTGGGAAATAGTCATTTTAGGCTTCAATTTTCATGGAGGATATGACTTTAGAATTGTATTTGTAGGATAATTTTCATTTTTGGAAATTGATCTTACTTTGTGTTTAGTGGGTGACTTATTGAAGACTTTACCCAAGCTAAAGGATTCTTAAAAGCTCATGATCTTTTATTTGTATTTCCTAGGCCCACAACAAGTTGATAGGGACGAATTGTACTGTAACACACTGTATATTGTGCTTCTGTGTCCCGTGCTGTGAATCTGTGTTGGTGGAGCTTGTTTTGTTTTATGAGTTAGCTGATGTAATTGTAATCTCTGCCATCTCTTATTCTGCAAAGAAATCAGCCCCTTTGGTACCCAAATGCTAGTCTCTTTGCTTATGCTCGTTGATGTTAATGGATGTATCTGGTGTGGCTTTGTCATTATATGTTTTCTTTAACACTCTGACAATGGGACCATTTCATATCTTTCAAAAGATGAATATATATAATTTGTTTTAAGGTTTTTATCAGAATTGGTATAAAAATAATTAAGTTCAGTTTTTCTTTGCTTATTTGCCAATGAAACAGACTTTGTCTGTAAACTGATTTCTTCTTTTTGTGCATTTTTCCTTTGTCTTTATCACTTCCGGTTGAACTTGGCTCATTGGCCTTCTAGTCCTGCCTCTTCTGGTAGTAGAGTTGGCACCTTACAAGTTGCCTGGACATTGAATGGATTTTTTTTTTAATGAAAGACTGTCTGCCATTCTTTTTTATAAAACAAGAAGTTAACAAAAGTGTATTTCACTTGATAAGTTGGATTTACTGCAAAGATTGCATTTGGAAAACTTTGGCTTTTATAAACTGTCACTCTAGTACCTAGTATTTTTTTTTCCCTACCAAATTTGAGTGGAATATCAGTGATAAAATGCCAAAGCATTTTTGAGCAGCCTTAAAAATTATTTTCCCTTTTTTCTCAAAATATCTTCTCTCAGGTAAAAGTTGTGACAGGAAAGGATGGGCAGACTGGGACTCCTGTTGCTATTGCAACCCAGCTTCCTCCAAATGTTTCTGCTGCTTTTGCGTCCCCGCAGCAGCCATTTCAGGTACTTTTCGATGGTTCTAAAATGTAGTCTCATCCCGGATTTTAGATTCATCCAGATTTGATTATTTTAACCTTCAATAAAGTATTTGCTATTCAATATTTTTTCCCAGTGCCCATTCCTTATTTAAAAAAAATCATAATACAACAATGAACCTTTCTCAAAACTATAAACTTTGAAACTGAAATTTGCATGATTAAGTGACAGCACACTTCTTAGTTATTTTTTCTTATTCATCTGTAAAGCAGTGATAGCTTTCAGCATGCTTGTCATCTAAAACTTATTGTATGTCTGGTTATACATTGCTGAGGATTCTTTGTGTGTGGCATTTTAAATGTTGGGATCTTTCCTGTGTCTTTGAAACTTATCTGCAATTTACAGAAAAGGCGGTACAGTGCAAGACAGAATGAGAATTTTAAATTTAAAGTCTAGAAAAATTTCATAACAGTAAATGTCTACATTAGATGCATGCTCAGCTTTAGTAACATTAGTTCTAATGTTATCTAATCCTCTTCATGGGATCTTAGAATGTTAGCATGGGAAGGGTCCTGGGAGGTCCTTTATTCTGGCCCTGACATTGTCCAGTTAAGGAGGCTCAGAGAGGTGAGGTGATTGTTAAGGTCACACAGCAAGTTAGTAGCAGAACTTGAAAGAGAGCCTGGGTTTCCTAACTTCAAAGCCAGAGCTTTTTTCATTCTAACATTGTCTTTGTTCCACTGGAAGGAAAAAAATAGCCATCTATCTACTTTTGTGTGTTGATTCTTTAAAAAGTGTCCCTTGCATTAATTGTAAAGGTTGAATGATTGTTAAATGTTTTAGGGGAGCTACCACCTAAAACACCCTGAAGACGTAAAATTAAATCTCCTTTTGTAAAGAACAATAATTTCCCTTAACTTGTCTGTTTAGATTCAGAAATTTCTCCATTTAAAATTGAGGTACACTTCATTTTAATACTGTAATAGAGTTAAAAAGACAGTTTTTCTGTTATATTGTGTTGACATTTTAACTGATCAAACTGTGTTTTACTTTGAAATAAGTGAGGACAGATCCTTATATGCTTCTCACCCCTCCCCCCAGCCCCAGATTGGTTTTGGAATTTGTGTGCAAAATAAAGTGGCTTCTATTTGGTGAATAAGTAGTTTTAGGTAAGACAAATTATATGTTGGGGGCTATGATAAATGTTAACTTTAAAATTTTGCTTTGTTGATACCTGTTGCGCTCTTCCTTCTGGATCTCCTTTGTTGGCCCCTCATCCATGTCCTACTACCTCTGCATGGGTACTCCAGGGCTCTGTCCTAGGCTCTCTTGTCTTATATCTTTATCATCTCCGTCTGGGTAGGCTCCTCAACTCCCATAGATTCAACTGTCTGCTATGTGGGTGGCTCCTAAATGTACATTTTCTGCCTTTATCTCTCTACTGAGATTCTAGTCCCTGGTCCCTACCTGTTTGCTGGACATCTCTACTTAGCTGTCTCGTGGGTATCTCGACCTCAACATGTCCAAAACAGAGCTCATGAGCTGCCTACCTAAACCCACTCCTCCCAGTTTCCCGTCTCTAAGGTATCCTCCTTGATTTTTTCAGACTCATCCCCTCCCCTTATCTAGTCATTTGCCAAGTATTGTCAGTGACACTTCTGTAGCCTTTCTTGAATCCGTCCTCTTTTTTCTACTCACACCAGGCCCACATCACTTCTCACCTGTACAATTGCCAGAACTTCCTGATTGAACTTCCCGATCCCAGTCTCCTTCTCCTCCAGTCCATTTTCTACGTAGCTGCCACATTGGTCACTCTGAAGTAGTTGTGTGACCATGCCACCCCTCTGATCAGAAGCTTCCTGTTGCCTTCAGTGTTTGGTATTGAAAACCCATTACTATTTGGAAAGCCTATCTGTCCAAACTGACTACATGTTCTTTTTGTGGATGGAATGCTCTTACCAGGCTCCTTCTTTTTGACATTCTGTCTCAGGCCTCTGTGTCTCTTCACAGATTGTTCTCTCACTTCTGGAATATTCTTCTTCCTTACCTCTGCCTCTTGGATCCCATTCTCTTCAAGTGCGACTTCCTCCAAGACAGTTTCATGGATTCCTTCAATTTGGGCTCTCTCCCTTCCCCCTCCTCCCATCATAGGATTGGAGGATCTGAAACAGACATCAAAGGCCATCTAGTTCAACCCCCTTATTTTATAGATGAGTAAACAGAAGCACAGATAGGTTGTGACTTTTGTCAGGGACCCACAGCTATTAAGTGTCTAAGGCAGAATGTGAACTGAAGTCTTTCTGATTCTCAAGTCCTTTATCCATTTTTTGAGGGGCATAAGATCCTGGGCAGCTAGATGACTCAGTGTTTAGAGCACTGGGCCTGGAGTCAGGAAGACCTGAGTTCAAATGTGGCCTCAGACACTTAACTAGCTGTGTTATCCTGGGCAAGTCACTAATTCTTGTTTTCCTTAGTTTCCTCATCTGTCAGATGAATTGGAGAAGGAAACGGCAAACCACTCTAGTATCTTTGCCAAGAAAACCTCAAATAGGGTCACAAAGAGTAGGACAGGACTGAGCAACAACAACGATAGATCCTGTGTTTGCTAAACTGTGAACATGTATTGTCCTTAGTAGAACATAGGTGCCATGAAGGCAGAGACTGCCTCTATTTAGGTTGCTATCCTGAGAGCTCTGGCACAGTGCATTGTACATAGTGGGCGCTCAGGGAATGTTTGTTGGTTGATTGAGTATGCTTTAAGTGAACTGAAAGAAACAACCAGAAAAAACTTTTAATGTAAAAATAAGAAATCATGAGTTGAAAACAAAACATAGAGAAGCAAATCAGTCTTTATACTTGTGATTAATTTTTTTTTTTAATTTTAACAGGAAGGAAAGAAAAAATACTAACTTGATGTGTACCACTAATGATAGCAGAAATGAAAATCACAGGGGCCTGTTAAGAATGACAGTTGAAGCACAGGCAGCCTTTGTATATCTACTTTTTGAAAGACATCCTGTGACGTTAGTAATACAGAACCAGCTCTCTACAGAAGCAAAATATGGGCTCTCTGTGGGAATCCTGCTTATTTTGGATTGCAGGGCTGTAGCAATTAAAAATAGCTTCTCTTGTCTGTTGTGGTAATTTAAGGACAGATGGATTAATGAATCTGGGCTTGAGAGAGTATCAGGAAAATCATTAAAGTAGAAATCTCATTCATGTGAATATTTGAAGGGGGATGGATAATGCGGTATTGATATAGCTTACCA